TAGCTAGCTAAAAGGCACTCATGATAGAACCTTGTCTTGCATTAACTAGCTAAAAGGCACTCAGGATAGGACCTTGTCTTGCATTAACTAGCTAAAAGGCACTTACGATAGAACCTTATCTTGCATTAGCTTGCATTGCATTGCATTACATTACATTGTGTTAGCTAGCTAACGGCCACTCGTGACAGAACCTTGTCTTGCATTAGCTGTCTAAAAGGCACTCATGATAGAACCTTATCTTGCATTAACTAGCTAAAAGGCACTGATGGTAGAACATTAAATTGCATTATCTAGCTAACGAACACTCACGGTAGAACATCAGCTTGCATTAACTAAAAGGCACTCACGATAGAACATTACATTGCGTTAACCAGCTGCAGGCACTCACAACAGACAATTACCTTCCATTAACTAGCTAGAACATTACCTTGTCTTGCATTAACTAGTTAAGGCACTCATGCTAGGACATTACATTGCCTTAGCTAGCTAAAAGACACACAGTAAAACACTACATTGTGTTAGCTAGCTAACGGCCACTCATGACAGAACCCTTGTATTGCATTAGCTAGCTAAAAGGCACTCGTGGTAGAACATTAAATTGAATTAGCTAGCTAAAAGGCACTCACGATAGAACCTTGTCTTGCATTAGCTAGCTAAAAGGCACTCATGACAGAACCTTGTCTTGCATTAGCTAGCTAAAAGGCACTCATGAACCTTGTCTTGCATTAACTAGCTAAAAGGCACTCATGACAGAACCTTGTCTTGCATTAGCTAGCTAAAAGGCACTCATGACAGAACCTTGTCTTGCATTAGCTAGCTAAAAGGCACTCATGATAGAACCTTGTCTTGCATTAACTAGCTAAAAGGCACTCATGATAGAACCTTGTCTTGCATTAGCTAGCTAAAAGGCACTCATGATAGAACCTTGTCTTGCATTAACTAGCTAAAAGGCACTCATGATAGAACCTTGTCTTGCATTAGCTAGCTAAAAGGCACTCATGATAGAACCTTGTCTTGCATTAGCTAGCTAAAAGGCACTCATGATAGAACCTTGTCTTGCATTAACTAGCTAAAAGGCACTCATGACAGAACCTTATCTTGCTTTAACTAGCTAAAAGGCACTGATGGTAGAACATTATATTGCATTATCTAGCTAACGAACACTCACGGTAGAACATCAGCTTGCGTTAACTAAAAGGCACTCACGATAGAACATTACATTGCGTTAACCAGCTGCAGGCACTCACAACAGACAATTACCTTCCATCAACTAGCTAGAACATTACCTTGCATTAACTAGCTAAGGCACTCATGCTAGGACATTACATTGCCTTAGCTAGCTAAAAGACACACAGTAAAACATTACATTGTGTTAGCTAGCTAACGGCCACTCATGACAGAACCCTTGTATTGCATTAGCTAGCTAAAAGGCACTCGTGGTAGAACATTAAATTGAATTAGCTAGCTAAAAGGCACTCACGATAGAACCTTGTCTTGCATTAGCCAGCTAAAAGGCACTCACGATAGAACCTTGTCTTGCATTAGCTAGCTAAAAGGCACTCACGATAGAACCTTGTCTTGCATTAACTAGCTAAAAGGCACTCACGATAGAACCTTGTCTTGCATTAGCTAGCTAAAAGGCACTCACGATAGAACCTTGTCTTGCATTAGCTAGCTAAAAGGCACTCACGATAGAACCTTATCTTGCATTAGCTAGCTAAAAGGCACTCACGATAGAACCTTGTCATGCATTGACTAGCTAAAAGGCACTCACGATAGAACCTTGTCTTGCATTAACTAGCTAAAAGGCACTCATGATAGAACCTTGTCTTGCACCAGATATTACTTATATGGTGGACATTCTGAAGTGTCCAGCAATACTGCTGGAGTTTTTACACATCAGATGTCACTGCTAGTTTGATAGTGGTCCACCAACCAAAAATATCCAGCCAAGAGCACGAAGAGGTAGAGATGGCTAACACAAACTGTGCACCAACAGATGAGCTACAATCTCTAACTGCACATCTGCGATGGAGGTAAAGCAACAAGGGTTTTCTAATAAAGTGGCCAGTGAGTGCTTTCAATGGGTGCAGTATACGACGAGTTGATTTCAAATTCTAGCACAATCGACTGGACACGTGTGGTAAGTGTGTGCATGGGCTACGTGAGTTTAGCAGTGTCTGTAAGCCCACTAACTGAACCCAATCCCATGAAAAAATTTCCAGGGTTTTGCTCGCCAGGGTTATGTTGACAAAATGAAAATCAGTTACTAATTTTACTGGTCCATGATTCCTAAAATTAATTTCCCTCATAATATCAAACAAACATTTGAATGTAACTAATATCTGCCCTTTGGAAATCCCTTAATCCCTTTTTAATAGCCAGTTTGATGACACCTTGGTCCAAACTACAACTAAAGATAGGTAATTCAATGAAGAATCAAGAATTGAACTTATTACTCAATGCTTTATTATTAGAATAAAATATGAGCTTCCAACTGAACTTTCCAGAAACCCATCTTTATATGTAGCCATAGCTGCAAGCAGGTACTTTTCCCTCGCTCTGCCTCTTTTTTAGCTGTGGTTCGGCTCTGGGTTTGGCAAATGGTGGCAGTTTGGTGGTGACTGCTAACACTCACAGACACACTCAGAGAGAGCTATGCTGGGTGAGGCTAACCCACTGAGGGTGTGTGTCTCTTTGTGTGTGCATGGGCAATTTCAAAACCAGCCTTCTACCACAGCCACAATGCGGTCAGCAAAAGGTATAATGCGTAATAGCAGTGGCATGTTAGCTGTGTTTTGGCAGTGCTTACTGTGACTGTAATGCCTCAAGTGTTACAGATGACTGCAGAGTTCAGAAGGAACAGTAGATAAATACAAACATCGTCGGGACGTTAGGTGTCTGATATTTGCTTAATTTTACATTGGAGCTGTGAGGCTAATGACATAGCGTTATGCAAATGAACAAAAGTAGCTGACAAAAATCAGGCTTCCAGATATCCAATGTACTTCTGCCAATTTTGTATAAAAAAATGTCAGAAACTACAAAAGTATGTTTGAGTAATACTTTTTTAAACCAATTTTCCCTCAGTTTAGCCAGGGCTAATTTCACCTGCTAGCTAAGTTCCCCATCACATGATGCTACCAAGCTGGGAAGGTAAAAGCTAGCAAGAGCTTTGTGACACATGAAGCGCCACCACATCTTTTCAAAATGCAAAATCATATATATATATATATATATATATATATATAGATGAGCTGCATTTCCACCATTTACAGGCTTTATCTTCTGCTCGACGCTGCTGCCATGGTAACGCTGAATGATGGCGCACGTGCCGTGGAAAAAAAGCACATGAATTCCGATCTGAGCGTCACATTAAGGTCGCACGGCCTCGAATCGGATACGTATCCGATCTAGGACCACATGTGAAAGTGGCTGAGGTCGGATTTGAAAAGATCAGATTTGTGTCCACACAGCCCGTGAAAACATCAGATCTGAGTCACATTAGGGCAAAAAATCTGATTTGTGCCACTTTAGCCTGGTAATGTGAACGTAGCCTAAATGATAGATATAAGCTTCCATTACATTAGCTATATTAGCCTCATAGCTCCAGCCTGATGTGAAGAAGTTGAACAGTTTCTTTTTGTGTTTCTCGCTCTGGTCTGCAGTGAGTGAGGGCTCGGTGAGACGTGTGGAGGATGATGGAGGATTGTCAGCTTTAATGCATTAGAGCCATCTCTCACCATCATACTCAAACTCAACTCCGATTACACAGATCTATCAAATGTGACACCTGTCTCTCCTCTTGTCGTTCCTTTCTCTCTCTCCCCTCCTCTTTGTTCCTTCACCTTCCCTCTCTCTCTCTCACTCTCTCTGAAGCAGGACACATCGCTCAGAGACCCAGTGACTCTTATCAGTTTGATGGATTCGAGTTAACTCGGAGGGGACAGGCGGTCGCAGTTTGAGAATATAATGACTCAGAGTGAAGCCCACCAGGGGGCGCTGTACACAGGAGGAGAGCACACTCACACACACGCTGATCTCCCTCCTCCACAGAGGCGCATACACACTCAACATCCCATCAGAACAAGCTACATACGTATACTCCTCCCTGCTTCAGACTTATCCTACCATCTCTGTCTCCTTCACTCTCTCTCCCTCCTGCTCGGCTCTGTTTCTCTCCTTATATAGATATCACTCTACTTCTGTCTCCTTCTCTTTCTCTCTCTAAAACTATCTAGATCTCTCTATCTCTCTCCAAAAACTTTTGCTATCTCTAACACTATTTAAATCTCGCTCCCCTTCTTTCTCTCTCCCTCTGCCTCTCACTTTCTCTAATATTTTACATCTCCCCCTAAACTATCTCTCTCTCTTTCTGTGATTCTCTAACACTCGATCCTTGTCTGTCTGTCTATCTGGCTCTAACATTATCTCTCTCTCTCTCTCTCTCCATCTCTCACTTGCTCTAATTCTCTCTCTCTCTCTCCATCTCTCACTTGCTCTAATTCTCTCTCTCTCTCTTTCTTGCTCTAATTCTCTCTCTCACTCTCTCTCCATCTCTCTCTAACTCTCTCTCTAACTCTCTCCATCTCTCTCTCTCTAACTCTCTCTCCATCTCTCTCTCTCCATCTCTCTCCTGCTCTAACCCTCTCTCTCACTCTCTCTCTCTCTCCATCTCTCTCTTGCTTTAATTCTCTCTCCATCTCTCTCTTGCTCTAACTCTCTCTCTCTCTCCCTCTCCCTCCATCTCTTTTTCTCTCTTACTCTCTCTCCCACTCTAAAAGACTCACCTCTCTCTCTATCTTTCTCTCACTATAACACTCTCTCTCTCAGCACTGAGTAATAGGTAACAAATCATTCTTTTCAGGCTCATTTCTCTCAAGATGAGAAAACAAAAGAGCTGTCCAACACACACACACTCGCACACACACTCACTCGCACACACACACACACACACTCACACACACTCACACACACTTAAATGAAAGTTTAACTGTTACCGATGCAGCGTGTGCCGTTGAACCTCTTGTAGCCCTGAGGACACTCCAACAGCGGAATCGCTGTGGAAGAGAAACAGAAGACAAAAGAGGAAAAACATGATTATTCACAGGACGAAATGACGTCTCCGACAGCACAGGGCGAACAATACAAACAGGAGGAACCCCAGGTGATGTGTAATGATGTGTAAAAGACAAACACCAGCATAGAGAGACACTTCAGTTGAATGCATACAGAACTGCGAGGAGGAGACCTGTTAGCAGGAGGCCGGCTGAAGAGCTCTACTGTCTTTGGGATGATACTTGTAATATAACCAAATTCCACGCTTTCAAAGCTCTTCAATTCAAGTGCTTACTGGATTACAGTCATTTAGGCTCTTGACTTATTTAGTACTGAGATAATAGCAGCTCTCTTAAAGAGAAATTCCACCAATTTCACTAAACTTCTGAATAACTGTGTCATTAAGGTGTAAACAGAGTGGTTTGGTGTGTAATGCTCTGTTCTAGAGAAACTTATTGAGTCAGAATTGTTCACAGTGATGGCGATAGGAACCAGACGTCTGAGGAGTTTAATATGCTTGAAAGCTTTGTCACCAAACGTTATTACAGAAAATGGTTATGAATGTGCTGCCTGATGCCTGACACACTGGATTACTATGGTTCTGAGATAAAGTTTTGAACTAAAACGTATTTTCGAATCCATTCATGGTGGAGAGGTACATGCAGGAAGCTGCGAGGCAAAATAGTCCCCCAAGAAAGTTGTAACATTGTTTTACCATCATCAACAAAAACTCACAACATGTAGGTTCTCTGGTCATTCTGGATAGCAAATACAATGGCTATATTTGTGTCGTAGACACGACGATGCCTGGTTCTTGTCACCACCACTGTATATAAATTCGATTTGGTAGGTTTCTCTACAATGAAGCATTTCACACCAGACCACTCGGAATGAATTTGTTTACATTTCAACTACTGACATAGAGAAATTTTGAAAATTTCGGTGGAATTCCCCTTTCGCACATGTGAGTATATGGAACACCAACACGGTTTTCACAAAATGCTTATGTCCACCATGTTCTAACTAACTTATTACTAAATTATCTTTACTTTTATTCTTTTTATTATGTGAAATCACTATATTGGCAGATAATTTGCTTGTTATAGCCCCACCCATTCACCATTAAGTTGTAAGGCAGGGGTCGCAACCTAAATGTTAAAAGCTATTTTGTCCTTTCAACAAAAATCAAACCACCTTGGGAGCAACATTTTATGTCCGTTTTACCATCTTGGCTGTAAATATGTCTCAGTATGTGCTGATGTACTAATATAGGCTACAATTATAATAGAAACAAAAACACAGACTTACTTTACTTTAAGCTTTAGCTCAGCTATAGCCGCTTTTCTCACATCTCCGGCAGGAAACTTTTCAAAAAAAAAATGGAATAGCTTCTTGTAAAATGTCTCTCAACATTCGGCTTTTTACGAGGCTGAAGTCGCTTCTCATTCACCAGCTTCTTACTCCCGTTCCACCTTAAATGGTGCCTGAGGCGGCAGAATGTAACTGTTGCACCATTTAAGGTGGAACGGGAAAATTAGAGCAAGAAGCTGGCGAATGAGAAGCGACTTCAGCTTCGTGACCTTTTAGTGTTTGACAGTTTCTTGTTGCAGATTAAAAGTATCAGGGAACCAGCTGGAGTGATTATAAATGTAAATAAGTCCACTCGTCTTCAAATTATCAATGTTCGTCTTTTATCTTTCTCTTTGTCTTTTCGTTAGCTACTAGCAAGGCCAGATTCTTATCTGAGTTCTTATGGTGACCAGCAGTCTGCGCACCAACCTTCAGGGTTAAAGGGTGAATTAGCAGTGAAACTCCAGCGTTTATTAAAACTGTGTTAGAACCATCAGCAGAGCTTTATTTTACTGCAAAGGAGGATTATTTTATGTCTACCTAAAAATCTGATTCTGCTGTGGAGCCGCAACAGGGCAGTAAAAGAGCCGCATGTTGCCGACCCCTGTTATAGGGAGTATTTCAGCCCAGGCTGCTCTGTGAATGAGGCACAATACAGGAAAGCCAAACAGAACAGAGCTTATTTACATATCGCTGTTGTCGGAAGAAAACCTCGTATCTCCATTTTTGACGTTTTTCAGTTTTTGACATAATTTGAAAATGCCTGTTGTCCTTTACATTGTGTGTAAATTTCATGATGAATGGACTAAAAGAAACGGCCCAAAATTACTTGGAAAAAAGTCTGGTTCCATTGACTTACATTTAAAGTAGAGTGGGTTTTTTCCTTCTCCTGTAAAGTTACCATTTTGGAGATATGAGGTTTTCGATATATCAGTCTATAATGCACAGTAACAAAAACAAGCAATAAAGAGAGATTAACAATGGTCATGTAAAACTGAATTATGACTGTTTTGGTACATAAAAACACACAAACGTAACAAGTGGACCTTGGAGGGACGTTAGACTAGCCAGCTAGCTCACAGACAGTCTTCATTGTGGTTTCAGAATCTCTTTCTACCTTCTCTAACTGCTTCCTCAGTGAGTCAGCTGCTGATATAAGATCTAAGTGTTAATTACTAACGTTTACACTGTAGTAAACTGCCCTTTCAAACATTTTAAAATGGGGCAGGAAAGCCTTTGGGAATTTCCGAAACGCAGAGGTTAAGAAGGCAATGCTGTGAAATTTCATTTCTTTCTGTGGCACATTCATACGTACCCCAAAGCAATGAGACCCATGAAGGAATATGTAAACTGATCTGAAAAACGGCCCATATATGGTTCAGAAGTCTCCACCCAAAACACCTAAAAGCCAGAGGCTGAGGCCCAGGCTGTTGGAACAAGGCCACGTTTGTTAGAGTGCTAGCCAACGTCTTTACCAGCTACATCCGTCTCCAGAAAACACAATGAAGCGGTTCACATACTTGCGCCAAACTCACACCCATGAGCCCTGCGGCACTCTCCAACACTGAGGCTTTGTGGAGGTCGGGGTCGCAGGGGAGAAATTGGGGGATTCCTGCTGATTGGGGTACAACTTTGTGCTCTTAGGAGGCACCGAACACACACTAATGTGGGCTGCTACATGCAACAATTTGTCTGCTTTGTTCATTCATGCTCTCTAGGGAGAGGGTGGGTATCATTTAGTAGTTAACGTTAGACTCTAATTCTTTATGGTTGAAATGTTATCACAACTGAGTCAAGTCAATGGTATGTATGTTTTAGCAGCTAAGAAAAGAGGCTAGCTAATTATTAGAGGTTGAAACATTACAGCTATTGAGTCATGTTGAAACTATATAAACATTTAGGCCCAATACCATTTCTGATTTTTACCCCTACCCTTTGTTTTCGAGTGTCACTCTAACCCCTTGGAACTGAGTTACAAGGGGTAGTGGTTGAAATCTTGCCCTACGAAATGAGACCCTCAAATATAAAAAAAAAAAACTTGATTCATTAACAGACTAGTAGCGCTGCTCTGTAGGCGACCCGGCCCGTCTTCAGTGATAGCAGAGGAGGGTAAAGTTCAGCTCCTCACTGCTGGGCTTTAGTTACATTTAGGGCATAATATGCTTTCAAAGAGGGGGGCAATTATTTATTATCACCCACCGCTAATTCTTTGGTGATATAAAGCTTAAGTCAGATATTCACCAGCTTCTTGATTGAATTTTCCTGTTCAACCTTAAATGGTGCAGCAGTTACATTCTGGCGCTTCAGGTGTCAGAACTGCTGGACTATTTAAGGTGGAACGGGAAAGTTAGCTAGCTAGCTACCGAGACCTTAGCATGCTATTAGCGATTTTTTATGCTTGTTATGAAGAAAACGACCATAATACACTGAAACGACATTAAACTAAGATAATACAGTGATTATCGTAATTTTTAACAGAGAAAATTCTCACATTTGTGGGTTTCTTTGGTCTCTTGTTCTCCATCTCTGTTCAGTCATCATAACTGTCCTGCATACAACCTTCAACTAGTTTTTAAACTCCTCAAACAGATTTTAAACGCACGGAGACTTTTATTTTAGAAAATAAACGTAGACAATTATTACAAACAACAGAGAGAAAAAAAATAATGACTAGGCCTGATATAAATGATTTTATAGAGAATGTCGTTGCTGACACTGAGCTAGATTAAAATTATTTACTAAAGTAATTTACAAAGTTTTACTAAATTTGAAATTGGTATTTTAGTACCAAAATATGCACATATTTATTGAGCACGGTCATTATATGCTGTTACTGCACTGCCTTTTTCATCTCAGGTTATAGATCTTATTGCAGATTTTTGTATATTTATATTTGTATATATGCCTGTAGATACGTTTTTTTGGATTTATTTATTTTTTTTATATTGTTTCACTCTTATTATTATCACTGTCCTGTATTGTGTGACTACTACTGGCTGCTACATTTCCTTCAGGATCAATAAAGTATCTATCTATCTATCTATCTATCTATCTATCTAAAGAAAGGAAGGAAGGAGAACTCTGTAAATTCAACTGTGAGGGAAAAACGAGCGACTAAAAGTAGAATTTTGTCTATTATTCTGCTTAACCGCCGGTGGGCCGCCCAGAAAACACTGAGCGAAACGCCAGTGGACCGCCAGTTTTGCCATTAGCAGGGGCCGACAGTGGTCCACTATCCTATTGCATTCAGGGATTATCATGACTGGGTCAAGCAAGATACACATTTAGCGCTGTTTAGCATTTCTAATTTATAGAGATTAGCTGACTATTTGTGGTTGAAACATTACGGCTGAGTCAAACTGAAACATGATACAGATTTAGCGTTCTTCAACGCTGCTAATTAGAAACGAGCTAAAAAATTGTGGTTGAAACTTTATGGCTAATGAGTCATGACAAGCACACATTTAGCTTTGTTTGCAGATGCTAATTTACAGAGGCTAGCTAATTCTTTGTAGGTCAAATATTACTGATATTGAGTGAAGTTGAAACAGGACAGTTCGAACTGTTCAGCATTGCTAATATATACAGGTTGACTAATTAGTGGATGAAACCGTCATTATTGAGTCAAGATGAAGAAATACAGACTTAGCAC